CATGTGTAGGACAACCAGGGGACTCAAGCCCAGCCAGCATGGGTTCATGAAGGGCAGATCCTGCTTAACCAACCTGATCTCCTATGATCAGGTGACCTGCCTAGTCAATGCGGGGAAGGCTGTGGATGTCATCACCATGGACTTCAGTAAAGCCTTGACACCATCTCCCACAGCATTCTTCTAGGAAAGCTGGTGGCTCATGGCCTAGACAGGTGCACTCTAAGCTGGGTTAAAAACTAGCTGGACAGCTGAGCAGAGAGAACTCAGGATGTAAGCTAATTTAAAAAGTAACATAATCTGATGATGTACTAATGAAGGTGAAAAGGGGGCAGAAAGAAAAAGCCAGCCTAATATCTAGCTTCTGTTTGACTAAATGCAACAAATATTTTTACAATGTTTGGGTCAACATCCTTAGAGGAATGAACAATTTTGAACAGTGCCTGAAATGGAAGACTAAACCACTGGTGAGGCTGCACCTCAAATCCTGTGTGCAGTTTTGGGCCCCTCACTACAAGACAGACATTGAGGTGCTGGAGCATGTCCACAGAAGGGCAACGAAGCTGGTGAAGGGCCTGGAGAACAGGTCTTATGAGGAGCAACTTGTTTAGCCTGAAGAAGAGGAGGCTGAGAGGAGACCTTATCGCTCTCTACAGCTACCTGAAAGGAGGTTGTAGTGAGGCGAGGGTCGGTCTCTTCTCCCAAGTAACAACCAATAGGACAGAAGGAAATGGCCTCAAGTTGCGCCAGGGGAGGTTTAGATTGGACATTAGGAAAAATTTCTGTACTGAAAGAGTGGTCAAACATTGGAACAGGCTGCCCAGGGAAGTGGTGGAGTCACCGTCCCTGGAGGTGGTCAAAAAATATGTAGATGTAGCATCTGTAGACGTGGTTTAGTGGGCATGGTGGTTATTAGGCCAATGGTTGGACTTGATAATCTTAGAGGTCTCTTCCAACCTAATGGTTGTATGATCTCATTGTGATTACTGAGACATGGTGGGACAGCTTGGATGATTGGAATGCTGTCATGCATGGCAATGTAATCTTTAGGAAAGACAGGCTAACTAAGTGAGGTGGGGGAGTTGCTCTTTATGTGAGAGCACCTGGAGTGTATTGAGCTCTGCCTATGGAGGGATGATGAGCGAGTTGAGATCTTATGGGTGAGAATTAGGGGGCAGGCTAATATGGGAGACATTGTTGTGGGCATTTACTATAGGCCACTTCATCAGGATGAGGAGGTAGATGAAGCTTTCTACAGACAGCTGGAAGCATGCTGGCTTACACTCACAGGCCTGGGTTCTCATGGGGGACTTCAACCACCCTGATATTTGCTGGGAAAGCAACACAGCCAAGCACCCACTGTCCAAGAAGTTCCTGTAAGACACTGATGGTAGCTCTTTGACTCGGATGGTGGAGGAACCAATGAGGAGAGGTGTGCTGCTGGACCTTGTACTAACAAACAAAGAAGGACTGGTCAGGGATGTGAAGGCTGGGGGCAGCCTTGGCTGTAGTGACCACAAGATGGTGGAGTTCAGGATCCTGCTTGGAAAAAGCAGGACAATCAGTAGGACTGCAGCCTTGGACTTCAGGAGAGCTAACTTTGGCAACTTCAAAGACCTACTTGGAGGAATCCCATGGGCTAGGGTTCTAGGAGGTAGGGGGGCCCAAGAGAGCTTGTTGCTCTTCAAGCACCACTTCCTCCAAGACCAAAACTGATGCATCTATGTGAGGAAGAAAGCGAGGCAGAAGGCCTGCTTGGATGAGCAAGGATCTTCTGAAAACACTCAAAGGGAAGAAGGAAGTTTATATGTGGAAAAAGGGACTGGCCACTTGGGAGGAGTATAGGAATATTGTGAGAGTATGCAGGGATGCAACGAGGAAGGCTAAGGTCATTTGGGATTAAGTCTGGCTAGAGATGTCAAAGACTTTTGATTTGAAGAGATTTTTTTTTTGAATTGAATTGAAGAGATTCTTCAAATACTTGAGTAGCACAAAGAAGACCAGGGAGAATACAGACCCCCTGCTGAATGAGGCAGGTGCCCTGGTGATGGAAGATACTGAGAAGCCAGAGTTACTGGATGCCTTCTTTGCCTCAGTCTTTACTGCTAAGGCTGGCCCTCAGGAATCCCAGACCTTGAAGGTAAGAGAGGAAGTCTGGAGGAAGGAAGACTGCCCCTTGGTCAAGGAGGATGGGGTTAGGGATCTCGTACCCTGACTGGACACTCACAAATCCATGGGCCCTGATGGGATGCACCCATGCGTGCTAAGGGAGCTGGCAGATGCTATTGCTAGGCCACTCTCCATCCTCTGTGAAAGGTCATGGAGGACAGGAGAGGTGCCTGAGGACTGGAGGAAAGCCAATGTCACTCCAGTCTTCAAAAAGGACAGGAAAGAGGGCCTAGGAAACTACAGGCCAGTCAGCCTCACCTCTATCCCTGGAAAGGTGGTGGAACAGCTCATTCTGGCTGTTATCTCTAAGCATGTGGAGGAAAAGATCAGGATTAGTCAGCATGGATTCACCAAGGGGAAATCAAGCTTGACCGAGCTGACAGCCTTCTATGGTGGCATGACTGGCTGGGTGGAAGAGGGGAGAGCAGTGGATATTGTCTGCCTCGACTTTAGGAAGGCTTTTGACACTATCTCCCATCACATCCTCATAGGTAAGCTTAGGAAGTGTGGGATAGACAAGTGGACAGTGAAGTGGATTGAGAACTGGCTGAAGGACAGAGCTCAGAGGGTTATGATCAGTGATGCTGAGTCTGGTTGTAGGCCTGAGGCTAGCGGTGTTCCCCAGGGGTCACTACTAGGTCCAGTCTTATTCAGCATATTCATCAACAACCTGGATGAGGGGACAGAGTGCACCCTCAGCAAGTTTGCTGATGACAAAAACTGGGAGGAGTGGCTGACACACCAGCAGGTTGTGCTGCCATTCAGTGAGACCTGGACAGGCTGGGGGGCTGGGGAGGGGG